GGATCTAATAATTTCGTGACATGTAAAACTTTTAATAAAATATTTCTAAAATATTTATTTCAAGTATTTTTGTGAAATACTATTCTATTATTTGAGCATAATCATCTCTTTTTAAAGGAAACAACATGTGTCCTAAAACACAGTTCTTATTAGTTTTTATTAACCACTTTTCAGTTTGACATCATACTGTCTTTAAGAGACCTGGCACCCAGTACTGAAAAATATTCTTGGGACCTGACCTGTCTCAAGTACAGTGCTGGTTCTTACTATGAACTTTGTTAACAGAACTATGCAATATTTAAGCACTATTAAAAAGAACATGCTTCGGTTAATAACTTAAAATAAATCACACCAGGTAGATTTAAAACTAGAAACTGGAGAAGATGTTTGCTATGGTTAAATCACTTGAAAGTCTCCACAACATAACCTCAAACATTAAATATTAATGCCTTGGTATTATCCACATGGAAAGAGAAAAAGTTGCTTTTAAAATCTTCTGATATATTTATAACCTATCTCAATTCTGAATTACACTGCCTAATTCATTCATTCATTTCCTATATTTTCTATATATCCATACAAGTAACAAACCTAGGATGTCAGTTTGCGTCAATAAAGTGAAAGCTATGTGGCTGTATACAACACATATTTTCTCTTTCATCTGCAGTCCGTAAGAGATGTTGCAAGGACAGACCCATTCGGTTTATAGCAATTTCAACCTCAAAAGGTCCATAATCAAGTACTAACGGCTCAGCTGTATGTATTTCTACTGCCCAATATCACTGACCCTATGTACATTCAATAACTAAAAGTAGATCTTCCACTTATTCAAAATACTGTGGGAATCTGCAAGCAGATGACCATTCTCATCCTCCACTAAGTTACTTCTAGGTTGGTAACCCTTCTTAAAGTCATTTATTCCTTTATACAGGTCTCTAATGCTCATTTTCTCACTGCTCATTGCAAGCTCATCAATTTTATCTTTCAGATATTCCCGTTTTTATTCCTGAAATGTCTGCTGGTTTCACGTCTTATATTGTTCAGATTATCCCAATTTATTTCACTTTGATCCTGTAACCACTGCAATTTGGCTTGTGTCCTTTGGTCTAATAATTTTGAGAATCCTTCATCGAACCATGGCGTGTGCTTCTTCGGTTCATAATGACCTAGACTCTCTTTGACAGAAATTTTGATATTCTCTCTAATAGTTTCCCAAGCTTTATTAACATGCACCTCAGTGCCTAAGTTTTCCAAAGGTGAGAACATGTTTGAAATTTCAACACAATACTGCTCCTTACACTCTACCTCACTTAATTTCTTAAAATAGAACCTCTCCACATGAACTCTGTGCGTTGTTTGTTTGCTCACTGCCAGTCTTTCCCTAACTTTTACCACCACCAGGCAGTGGTCACTATCATAATCTGCTGCCCTGAATCATCAGACATCAAGTATACTTAAATGCTGGCTCTTATCTATCAAAATATGGTCAATTTGAGTGTCTTCCCATCAGGAATGTCCAAGTGCATTTATGAATATTACTATGTGGGAACATTGTACTTTTGTCAGTAAGATTTTTGGATGTGGCAAAGTTTACTACTCTAACTCCATTTCATTATTAATTTCGTGCAAACTCTCATTTCCAGTCGTTGGTTTGAAAATATCTTCCCTACTTACTTTGGCACTGAAATCTAACAAAATTTTCATATGGTACTTTGGGATTTTATCAATTACAGGCAATAGAAATAATTTAACTGTAATGTTCTGGTGAAGGAATGAACTAGTTCTAGAGATTAGTTGCACTGTTAAAGATAAAATGGGGACATGCTGTGGTGTGGTTTTAACTTCATTTGAAATTTTAAAATGTTCCTTGCTGTCATCCAACAGCTTACTGAAGTGGAACTGCTTCCTTTGTGCACTGGACCCTTGAAGTTTCTCGACAGTAGATGGAGTGTATTAGTGACTATTTACAAGATATATGGTAAAATTGATTTTAGTAATTATCACAGCATACCCTTATTACAAAGCTCAGTCAGTATAGCGACTGGCTATGGGCTGGATGTCAGAGGGATTGGAGTTCGAGCCCCAGTAGGGTCAAGTATTTTCACTTCTCTATCTCGTCCAGACCAGTTCTGGGGTTCACCCAACTTCCTAAGTAAAGGGTACCGGGGGCACTTTCCCTGGGGGTAAAGCAGCCAGGGCATGAAGCTGTTCACTCACCTCCAACTAGTGCCACTCCCCCACATGCCTTCATGGAATAATGTTTAATTAGTTTAGCTCAGGGACTTTACCTACCATTATTACAAAGTTCACACAAAATTGTGTCTGTCATTACTCTCAAGGTTAAGCCTGTATGTTAATAAAATTACTGGGGATCATCAATGTGGGTTTCAATGTAACAGGTCAACTACAGATCAGATTTTTTACATTTGTCAGATGTTGGAGAAGAAATGGGAGTACAATGAGGCAGTACATCAGCTATTCATAGACTTCAAGAAAGCCTATGACTCAGTTAAGGGGAAGTATTGCACAATATTCTCATTGAGTGTGGTATGCCCATGCAGCTAGTTAGGCTAATTATAATGTGTTTACATGAAACCTATAATTAATCCTGTATAGGTAAACATTTGTCTGATACATTTCCTATTTAGATTGGTCTCATACAAGATGTTTTATCACCACTGATTTTAACTTTGCTTTAGAATATGTCATAAGCAGATCCAAGAAAACCAGGTAGCACTGAAATGTAATGAAGCACATTAGCTTCTAGTCAAGGCTGATGATGTTAATTTGCTTGTGGGTTAACAAAATTACCATAAAGAAAACACAGAAGCTGTAACAGAAACTAGCAAGAAAGTTGGTGTAAAAGTAACACAGAGAAAAATAAGTATATGTTGATGTTTCATTACAAGAATGCAGAACAAAATCATGTAAAGCTAACAGATTTTACAGAAATGTGGCAAAATTCAATATTTTGAAATAATATTAATAAATCAAAATTAAATTAATGAAGCATTAAGATCAGATTGAATCTAGGGAATACTTGTTATCATTCCATTCCAAATATTTTGTCTTCCTGCCTTCCTCTCTTAAAATACATAAACTATAATTTTGCCTGTGGTTTGTATGGGTATGCAAGTTGGTCTCTTGGGCCCAAAGAACTGGAGGCTGGGGTAATCTGCATAATGAAGATCTTTATCATTTTTACTCCTTGCCAAATATTATTAGGATGATCAGATCAAAGATGATGGGATGGACAGGAACGTAACATCAATGACAGACATGCAAAGTTTTCATAGGAAGAACTAGGAAAAGGGGAGAGAAAAATATTAAAATGGATCTTAAATTATGAGTCGAGACCGGCTCTGGGGTCACCCAACCTCCTATCCGATGGGTACCAGGGATAGAGCAGCCGGAGCTTGAAGCTCACAACTCACCTCCAGTTAATGCTGAGGTCAAGAAAATGTGAATCTATACATCCACTCCCCCAAACGCTTTCATGGGTTAGTGCTTAATTACTTAAGCACAAGGACAACTTTACCTTTACCTGAAATAATGAGGAAGTGAAGGCCAGTAGTGGGCTCTTGTAGGCACAACAATGAACCCTCAGGTTCCATACAATTCTGGGAATTTGACAGTACCTGAGTGACTACTAACTTCTCAAGAAGGACTTACTTCCTTGTAGCATGTGTTAGCTCCACAATAACGATGACAATGATGATGATTGTTGTGATGTTGATGATGAGAGGAGGAGGAGGAGGAGGAGGAGGAGGAGGAGGNTAATCATTTCAGAAGCCCCTTTCTTTGCATTCTGTTGAATTCAACTGGTTTCATATTTTGAAATTTTGAAAAACATGGGTTCTGTTTGTAATTCTCTTAATAAATCTTCATTTCTTTTCATAATCCAGTCAAGCGTATCTCACCACTTGTCACATAAATTTACTTTCAGCAGCTGTAACATTTTATTTGACTTCTCCGTAAACTGTTTTAAAAAAGATATACTCCTTACTTATCAAAAAAATCATACAAACATAATATGATGACCAGTTATGTTTCTGTTTCTGCTTGCATTATGTTTTGATATAATTATAGTGTTCTGTGGCAGAGTATGTAAGGCAGTTGTACTAGTACAGTTAAGAGCTCTCACACTGGCCCAAATAAAAGTGGAAACATCAATGCAAGAGAAGACAATTTCAAATCTTTGCCATGAAATCACATGTGTTGACAGGTTAGGCTGGTGTAGTTTAATTTATGTTAGGCACTTGAAAGCATAAACAAGATGTAACTGAATTCTTGTGGGTGCAGGTATAAAGGTTCAAATATGCAGTCCAAAGTTTCAAGTTCTATTACTCACAGCGCTTGTCACAGAAATAACACTGAATCAGCATGCATCTGGTTTGACTGATACATTTGCAGTCCATCTCAACAAAGATACAGTTGTCCCTGTGCTTAAGCACCACACTAAGAAGGCATATCAAGGAGTGGAAGTAACACTCCCACACATTCTTAATTTCAGCATTATGTGGATGTGAATGGACAGCTTCATCTCTGGCTGTTGTAGCCCATGGGGAAAAAGCATTTGGCATCAACTGTATCAAAGGGTCACTAAGTCACATAGGTCCCCCACACATGGTGGCAAATAGAATAATCCCTGTACCTGTTGTCAGTCAAATCCTGGCCATTCAGCCCCTAACTAGCCAGTCACTTAACTTAGTTCAACTGATGAGTCCACCTTTGAAATTTGTCTAGGAAGCCTTATATTCCATAGTCACATACATGGAAAATTAAGAATAATGAAGCATGCTAAAAAAGGACAACTGCTCTGTTGCTGGATAAATACAAAAACTTCAAGGGTATGAATGCCAGTTGTTTTAATTTTAAAAATTAATCTGTTATGAAAGCAACATATAATCTGATAACATGTACTGGAACCATGAATCAGCATCCAAATAAAGTGACATGTCATATAATTGAGGTTATCAATGTAATATTAAAGAACTAACCTTACTCAGTAAAGGAGATTGATGGCTATACAGATGCACAAGTACTCATAAATACTGCTAACACTAATCCTGTCAATGAGCAGGTTATGTTATGACAAATTACATAAAGAAATACACATCAGATATAACAAATACAGACTTTATACACTGCCACTTGTTCAATCATCTATACCATAATGGCCACTTATGAGTACCCATGATGCATACCAAGTCAGACTGACTGTTCTTGGTACTGTCAATCACAGATGTTTGTACTGCCAAATTAAGTGCTTTCTGAAATTTCCAATCAGTAACAGGCAAGAATAATTATAACTGATAATTAAGATGATGAGATGAGGCACTTAAACTGCTATAGGCAATTTAATGGCACACTCAAGAGGTTAAAACTTTAAAATTACTTGCCCACAAAACTTCCAGAATGATTAAAATCAATCCCAGGGCTTATATACATACTTTTTATCTGGTATAGCCCATTAACAGCCACTTTTAATTTCATAGATCATGTATGAAGTACCTACAAGAATGTAAATTATTTAATTCAGTTCTGTATTACAGAATTTTTGTAATTGTAAATGATGAATGACTGAGTATATAAGGTATTTAGAGTTTTTCCCATTCCCCCATAGATCTATAGTACTATTATCCTTCTTCTGTTCCCTTTCCTTCCAAATGGATACTTCTCAAGGAATTTCCTAATCTAAATTCTGCATGCACTTACATATCACATCTAAACACACCATAATCCCGAACTCGAAAAATCAGTGTAAACGCATTCCACATACTTCCTGATATACAATATGCCTTGAATATGTTACCTTGGAAATGAAACTGACTGTTGGCTGGCAGACCAATGTTGGTTACCAGATTTCCTTTTTCCTGTGGCGCTACAGCCCCAATTTGGGCCTAGGCCTACCTCCATGAAACTCTCCGTTTCACTTCGGTTTACTAGATCTTACACATATGGTAGGACTCCTTGGGCGAGCGATCAGCTCGTCGCAAGGCCTCTACCTGTAGACAAACACAGAAAAACGCACACAAACATCCATGCCCTGAGTGGGATTGGAAACCACGATCCCGGCTTCCGAGCGAGCGAAGACAGTGCACGCCTTAGACCGTTCGGCTACCGTGACCTGGTTACCAGATACTGATCAAGAATGAAAACTGACTTGTGAAGCCAGTTTAAATAGAATTGACAATTTTGTGTTTAGGCCTCTAAAGTGCATATCAATTATTTTCCTGAAGATACCACCTATGTAGTTTATTTAGGGAGATGGTCCCCACAAACTACTGCAATTTAATCAAAATCATTATAGCTGTTTTCAAGAAGATGGCAATTTTGTTTTTGGGCCCATCTGAAGGGCACCCATTTATTGTGCTGGAATGTCCAATAACCAGACATTGAAGTAGGATGAATAAATTCTTGGATACTGAATACGAATGAAATTTTTCAGACCCTTAAGGTGCTTAGCAAGGTGCACGTCAATATATCCATACAGAGAGACAGATGGCAAACCAAAAGCCACTTCTTTTTTTCAATATCACAGTACTTTCACACATATATTACGCACATGAGAAAGTAAAATTCATGTCCAACCACTCTGAGGGAAGGAACTGATCATACTTTAACTGTCAAATCTTTATCAGCACAATTAATAATGGGTGTTTCATCCCTCCTACTTGTTAAAAACTTACAAATCTTGTGGTAGTCTTTGATATGTGTCAATGGATCTCTTTGATCCAGTCATACTGACACAAAATTTGAGAAAATATGAAATGTCAAAGTAAGAAAACAGTCTTGTGAACTCCTATACGATACTGATTGTTTATTCTGGTATTATCTGAAACAAGGAGACAATAATTTTTAAGATATCTTCAGGAATGTAAATCTTAAAAAAAAAACATACTAAAGTACTTGCATTTGAAACAGCCAGTTCCTGCAATAAGGATGCAAGACTGAAGTGAAAGTGGTGGGAATGTCATCTTACTATGCAAGCATTAATGATTCGACTGACTACCTGCCATCCAAATAATTACAAGTAGCAGTTCAGACTCTAAGACTAGTAGAAGGATGTGCAGACACTGGGTTAAGTCTTCCCATTGGAGAGTTTTTAACTAGAAGTCAGTAGCAAGCCCAAGAAATTTAAATTCAAAGGCAATAAAATACTGTAACCAAACATCAAACTTAACAATCAAAAATACTTCTCCTTGAGCACAATGACTGTTGGACCATGTCTTATGGTACTTCAGCCTCTAACCTACATATCTAAACCCATTTAATGGATAACTCAGATATTTAAAATTTATCATTAAAGCTAAATACGACAATTGACTGTCTGAATAAAAATGAAGACAATTAATGTTATATTGGATTTAAGGTTATAACAGTGGTAACTATCTTCTGGGTACAAGTTCACCAGTGTTACCTAGTGGCCAGCTTTATGAAGACTACTTGCTCGGTTGAATCTTCAACCCTAGTAGCATGTTCCTCTGAAATTTCAGTGAACCTCAACCAGACTACATAGCACTGCACCCCAGAAGATAGTGCTTTTAAATTAATGTCATGTTTTTAACTGGGAGCTGCGACAGCGCAGTCAGTATAGAGACTGGCTATGGGCTGGACTACCAAGGAATCAAAGTTCGAGTCCTAGTGGGGGCAAGAATTTTCACTTCCCTGTCATCCAGACCGGCTCTGGTGTTCACCAAACCTCCCATCCAATGGGTACCAGGTGCCCTTTCCCCGGGGGTAAATCGGACGGGGCGTGAAACTGACCACCCACCTCAAACTAGTGCAGAGGTCAAGAAAACGTGGATCTACACTTCCACTCACCCCATACGTCTTCATGATGTAGTGCTTAATTATTTAAGCACAGGGATAACTTAACCTTTATGTTTTTAATTTTCTGGGAAAACAAACCCTTCTCTGAGAAGGGAAATAATCTTTTTAGAAATTGCATGTACACAACTCCATACATTTTGTTCCATTGGTTCCATACAAACATTTGGCACTCAGAAACTATGCATTCAGTTAACATCTTGTTTGTCACAGGCTGTGATGCTGTTCCTTTGTAATTGCAGTGATGAGTACTTAGACAATTTTCCACTGCCAATTGCATAACATAAACTCATTTTACATACAGACATGCAGTGAGTTTGTACATGTACATCTGCCTGCGAACATCAGCACAATTCTTGCTGGAGATTGCATGTGGTTGCCATATTCTGTACAAGCTCGGTTAGTGCTATTATCAAGAACTGGCAGGTGACATGTACCGCATTGAATGAATGGATCTATAACTGCTAGCTCAGACTTCTCCTGGGCCTGGCTAGTTTAAAGCTATTCGTCTTTAACCATGCCTAATGTAGTAAGATGAAGTGTTCTGGTTCCCTGCTACAGCATACAGAATCAATTCTCAGTTGTCAACAGATATCTGTATGCCCAAAATATTCCTATTGTTAATTCCTTTTGTGGAGTCGGGATACCTCAATTGGTAAAGTGATGGGCTATGGGCTGGATGGTCTGGGTTCACTTCTTGGTATGGTAAGATTCTTCTCTAGCATCTAGACTGACACTGGGGCCCCACAGCATCCTCTTCAATAGCTACCAGAGGTGATCTCCGCAGGCGTAGAGTGGTCAGGGCATAAAGCTAACCACTCACCTACATTTAGTACCAAGGTGGAGTTATACTTCAACTCCCCTATACGTCTTCATGGAATAGTGCTTAACCAATTAAGCACAGGAACAAATTTACCTTTACCTTAATTCCTTTTGTACTTGTGTGTGAGAAAGAGTCCTTTGTCATTGAGGCTACAAATTGATCCATCATAAGAGCCCCAGATAACAGATGAGAGAATGGAGAAATAGTAAAATGATAATTGGTAGGGTGAACCTGAAGTACAAGGAGAAAAACCTGGCTCAGTGCCATTCTGTTCCCCATATATCTCACATGAACTGCCCTGGGACTGAACTCAGGCTTCCACAGTGAGAATACTGTTTGTCTGTTATGTGTTTATCAACATCATCACAAAAGCATGTCACAGGAATCTTTTCCAAAGTTGTTCAATCTGCCTCATGTAATCACAAACTTTTTCTTGAAAATATATTTCATAGGCACTTAAAAGTACCTTATCTAGTGTCAGAACACAGTACAAGGTGTTCACTGTATATACACATCTCAAGAGAAGCCATTTAGTTTTCATGGGTTGCAGATATCAGGGGTTTCCCTTTGCTGGCTACAACACAAAAGTTTCTATTTTCAGCTTTCAATAAAGTATTTTACCAGTTATATCTGGATTTGGTTTTAAAGGAAAGAAATATTTTTGAAAGCCTCTAATGCAAATGACAACCTTACCTTCTTATACATTTATTATTAACCACGTTGACAAATTAATAATTCCACCAGAAACAGAAGAAATGTCTTAAAAGGGCTGTTCTGAGGTCCAAGGCAATAGCAATGGGATCTGACTGCTCATCATCAGGCCAGTAACTTCATACATAAAAAAATAGTTGCTTAATGAAACTATAAATTGTCAGAAGTCAGTCAGACAAAACAGAATCATCACCTATAAAATTAGAAGATAATTACTTCAGCGCCCACTCTAAGAAAATTCTGTTTTTATACTCTTTCATGCTGTAACTGGTTAAACCGTTTCACGTCTGCCAGCATTTGTGGTGTGCAAGTTTCCTGGTGCTGCAGGTGAATAATGGCATACACCAGAGACCTAATTTACACATAACACTGACCCCTTAAAGCCCAATGTACAGTACAGCTTGCTCCAGCAGTACAGTGCCATGATAAAGATATGAGACATAATTGTGAAATCAAAATAGAATACAACCAAAGTCTATCAATTTTACTGAATTTTCATTAATCACATGCTTCTAATTCATCAACATGATTCAATCCATTTTAGACCATCTTCAGGAAGTTTTTACAGCAATTAAAAGAAACATTACATAAGTGTTATATGGATTGAATTAAGTATTAATTATTCAGAATCACTTTTTCCTGGTCCTAAAAGAAATAAATATAATTACTGTAAACGTAATAAAACTATTGGTATGTTAAAACCGTAAAGCAATTACTGTTGTTATATTTCAGCTGTATATCCTGTCCTGTGATAAACGAGTGGTTGTCTCATTCATTTTGGGGGTCATCATGTTGTGGTTCAGATGGGTAGATTTGTCTGCAGGAGGTCAAATATCGAAGGTGAAGAACTGAATACTATTAAAAAAAAATACTTCAAAACTGACAATGTAGCTAAGAATATCTTGTATGCATAGCAACACAAATCAAAGCCTGGATGCTCTTAGAAATTCTGAATAAGATACAGAATTACTTAAGATAATAAGATTTCCAATGCCTCTGCAGAAGCTGTTCATAGGCTCTGAAATCAGTCTTAAATATTCTTCTTTGGCACGGAACTGTGCTCAAAAAAATGCTTCAAGGGGGCTGATGAGAAGACATTTATGAAAAGATGGCAGCATAACTGATCCTATGACTAAGCAGTGTCTCATGAAGATGTACACACAACATGAAAGTTATGCTCAGTGCATTCTTAACTTAAACCCTTGTAGAAAATACCCATACTAGCCAATGAGCAGGAAGGAGCCTAAACTGCTACAGACATCAAGAAGAGAAAAATTTCCAATGGTCACCAAAAATGCCTACAGACTACAGTTTAAAACAAACTAGAACCTGCATTTTGGAGAAGTGATAAAGGCAACGAACCGCCTGTCAACACACATATTCTTACCTCTGCCAAGACTGTCTGTCCTTTGACTCACTTTAACAGACCAACTGACTTCTTGGTTATTTCAAATGCTACTACAAGTTAGACGATACTGAGCTAGCCTTAGAGTTCACAGTGTATAAATACTTCAGTACTTTAGCTTGTTCTAAGTTTCTATTACAAGTGCGAGCGGCTCCTCCCATCTTACAGATTTCTTTAGAAAGGGGACGACATCACTTCAGTTCCTGGTTCATACGTACTTTCTCAATGCCTCCTTCCCCGAGACTGAATGGGGCGTCCAAGTAGCAATTAATAACTATATTTAATATAACATAATAAATAAAAGATGAACAATCAAAATACAGACTCTACTCACAACACTCCAAAAACTGATATTACATACAACAAAATTCTCAGAAGGAATACACGCACACTGTGTTAGAAAAAGTCAAAAACAGCCAGCAAGGAAAAAATACATGGGGCAATACAAAATACCAAGCAAGTAAAATAACACTCGAAGAAAATCCCTAGACGCTCAACGCACCTGTCTCAAAACCAAGGGGGACACTAGCCCTCCGCAGCCAGAAGGAGAAACCAAAATGGAATTTTAACCAGCCCAAAACTCAACAGAATTCCGCTACCTCTTTCACAGACTGCTTGTAACCGAGTGCTCCCATCCTACTTTTCTTCGCTAGACTAAACAGGCAGAAACAGCTGGAGGGAAGTGAGATCACGTGATGGACTGGAACATTCTAGAACTCTAGGATGCTGAAGGAAGGGTAAGGGTAAGGGATGGGGGGTAGGAAAGAGGCCGCTGAAACGAGCCATGAGCAGTAAGCATGGCTCAGTATCTCCCCTTTCACAGTAGAACACACTGTTCTAGAGCATTGCCAAATGTCCGCGTCTTAATCCCGAGCTCATGAGTTTTCCCCATCTCTGTCCAGCCACCGAATAGTTGCCCCAGCTGCCATCACTACCTCCCCACACATCACTTCTGGCGTCCATACAGCCCCTAGGAAGTTATAGGTCACTACACCACTCACTGCACAGCAGTCCAAACTCCCTAGGGGCTGTATGGACCTAGGAAGTGATGTTTATAGTTTATAGTTCTATAAGTTTGTGACAATAGTCTTGTACCAGGATGAAGAGCAGGGTATTCTTGGTTAAAATACTGTGTAGTTCAGAGACAGCCCAATATTTCAGAGGAAAATATCATCTCAATCTTTCAGGGATGAAGACAGCCAAACAAGAGAACAGCAAAAGCAGGTGGAAAATTGGGCTTGACTTACGCTTTGAACTGAAGATGGAGGCAATATGTTTCTATAAAATGTCGCACTCTCCCCAACTATATGCTGTTACAGCCCATGTGATACTCTTCACAATCACTTCCATGAGAATCTGAATCATAATGTAAGTACACTGTAGGGTAGAACTGATGACTACAATGCCTCCAGTAGCATGGATAATTAGCAACGAATAACCCAAAAAACTGCAAATATCCACATAACTTGACCAGTCACTGCAGTGAAAATCCTGTAACTAACCACCTGAGCTATGGCAAGCATGAACTATAAAAGTGAGCTCATTTTTAATTCATTATTTCCACAAAACATTGTTTACATCATGAAATAACTGTCATTATTATTAATAGCACTCAGTTATAATTTCAGCTGCTCTCAGTGGTCATGCTTTTATGTCAGCATGCATCTATGACTGCAAACTAAAGCAGATGTTGTTGGACTCCGTTGAAGGTGACAATAAATGATGAACCACAACCAAGTTTACATGTAATTTTAACTCTGAACACACTCACAAATTCAAACAACACTGGCAAGTGTGTGTGCAGCAATACTGTATAACAGTTATAAATGTAGGTAAAATGAAACTGCCATAATAAATGTATTGAAGAGGTAGATTACTGCACATCATCAGGCTAGAGTAACATGGGTTAGAAGGAGCACTGCATAACAGGTAAGAGAAATGAGCATGGTTAGGCCAACTGTTGTCACTGCATTCATACCATTACAGGTCACAACACCAAAAGAAGAGAAGAGAATAATATCTTGCATCTGTCAGGATAGAACCTCAATTCCTCAGCCATCCAGCCCATAGCACATGTTGCTATACTGACTGAGCTATCCTAGCACAGCATCTTTCATATCAACTGTCACAAAATGTAGCAGAGATTTCAGAAGTTAGGAGCAAGAGATGGATGAACACAAAGATTGACAAATAGAGTATGTGCATAAGATATTATTAATTTTATAAACATACATAAAACATCTAAGTAGATGAAGGGTACATGTCCAGCAACTGAAGATTTGTGAAGGGGAAGACAAAAGTAATAAAATGTAAGTTTGTAATATACTTTACATACAGTTAATTTATTTAATATTCTACAATACATATACATAATCATATAGCATCTTTATTCATAATTTCATACTGTGCAATCATCGAATACCAACACCCACATCCAAATCCTGTTACAATATGGAAAACTGCAACACAGTCCCTGGTTACTCCTCCCAGATTGTTATACCTGAAACACACATCACATAACTTTATATTTTACTCAGCAGAGTAACAAAGCACTGCAAGATACAGCTCCATACAGAAACGTTTGGTTTCCACCATCTCAGAACTAAGTTCCACATTCAAAGAGTTATGATGGCTTGCTAGAAGATTTTGAGGTTAAAATATAACACTCTACATACATATCACACATCAAATAGACTGGCTCTAGGTTCTTGCACTAAAACTGCTATAGTCAAAGAGATGAGCTAATTGTTAACTTCTTTCTTTCTTTCTTTCTTTCTTTTATTTTCCCTGAAATCAAAATGCATTGATGCATGCATATCGTAATACTATCAGTAAAAACCTATACAGGCAATTACACAGGTAAACAATACTTATCAATCATGCTCATCAAAACAAAAAACCTGCATAAAAATCAAGACAAAAGATTACATCAACCACGCAAAAAACTGTATCAGATCAGCAATCAGATTATAAGTTAAGGAGAAAGTCATCTTCTGGGTTTTGGCGCTGTGTATTATTCGTTTTGGTCAACGTTTCGGAGGAACATATCGCCTCCATCTTCAGAGCAGGTGAATGGCTTGTGAATGCAGAGAGCAGATTATAAGTTATTTATAAGAAGCAAGGTTTTCCATTATTCTCCAATCTAGATATTCCCACAATGAGTAAAAGGAGCCAATATGGAGAATTTTTTAAAGGCAAGTTTAAACTTATTAACATCATTTGCCATGTTCTTAAGATTTTGTGGTAAATTATTAAATATCATGACCCCGGAACAGTAGACACCTTTTTGTCGTTTACTTCTGTCTACAAGTGATATCAAGTGTGACATACTGATATTTAGAGGAAAGAACAGGCTCTCAAAAGATCTACTTCTCTAGTTGCTGAAGATCATATGAGATAAGCACTGTGGGGTTTTCTGTGAAAATTCATTTACCATCAAGTACCATCGTGTATCTGGCATGTAGTTCTAGGGCAGAGCTTGGCAGTCAAAAGATTAAGTCACAACTAAAACAAAAGGGTGGGAAGACATACTACAATTTAGAGCAGACATTTATATTTACAAAAACTTTGTAGTTTAGCATACCTTGCTGTCTTGGCATAGATGCGTTCACTGTATACACAAATTTAATGTTGAAAAACATCAACAGTACAAGCAGTACAATACACAGATGCACAAATAATTTGTATCTTGCAACTTGCTAAGTATATAAGACATCAATACATGTTTCAAATAGGATTTACAGATGTTAATAAAAACATACTGTCTGCTTTCTTTGAACATTACACCATTAGAGGACAACCCAGTGCCATACTTTTTAATTTCCTGTAACAACATAGCAGATGCATGAACTTATGAGATGGGATGGACACTAGTGACACTTATTTTAGGGTCCTAAGTGATAGGTGATAATAGATTTTGGCAACATATGGACCTTATGTTACGTCTTTATATATATATATATAACAACAATATGGCAGCCTAGCAAACGTCTTCTTCGGTTTTTGGTTTGATGATGATACTGAACCACTGGAGCTAAGCATATGGGTACTGCCTCACATGTTTGTGGTAAAACAGCCACTGAAAATCATAGAAACGTGGATACTGTTTTGCTTAGAACTCCTTCAGTGAGTTGTTCTTGAGAAGTTTCTGCAAAGTCTGATTTGAGCTTCCAGTGGTTGAAATTCGTCTCACAGCTTTCAGTGCAAATGCACTATAACTATCGGCTCTAACCCATACAAACAACCCACAATTCTTATCTCAGTGGATTCAACTAAACCCAGTGGACATTCTGCTGAGAATGGTCAGGTCTAGAAACAGAGTAACAGACAGAACAACATTATGGTGGGTAAGGGGTTGAGTGCATCTCTCCTACTCATTGCCTCACCTTTGTGACATGTACATCAAGGGACTGGCTACTGACTCATGGCATACACATATGATTATTACATTTTGTGTGAAGGAATTACCATAATTTAGTTCTAGAAGCAAGTCATTGTGGTATAATCATTATATCTAGTGTCCAGGGAGTACTGAGGCCAAATTTATAGTTCTTTTTTAATATTACTAGTTACACATAATTACACCAATTATAATTGGTGTAATATATAATTATATATTGTGATTAATTTATGAACAAACACCTCCTAAAAAGTGGTGTTATTGGAATTTAATCTTTTGCATGCCATGAGCCAATTACATCTGACAGGCATATTTAAAACTGCTATAGCTGAAAAGATCAGCTCTTTGTTAATCAACAGTATTTCTGTCAATAGTACTGAGCATAATATGACAATGTCTCGAGGAAAGGACAGGCTTTCACATGATCTAAACCTATGGTCATTTGAGGAAGAACTGTGTGATTTTTTTTTGCAACTGAATTTTTCCCCAAGCAGCCTTGGCATTTCAGGTATGAGGTTCTATGTTGGGGCTTGGAAGTCATAGGGCTGAAGCCCATAAATTGATCAATATTATAATGGACTCTTACACCACAATTGCACGACAAATTCTTAATCTTAAAATTCGGTTTCGCAACTCTCTTTTCTTCCTTTCAGCTTGTGCTCTCCTAACAACTGTCATGAAGCAAATATAAATAAGAACATTCTTGAGTGTGTGCTGCTTTGAAATGTACCTTACCATTCATCTGGCCAAGTAACTTCCAAGGTTGGCAGAACTCAGAGGCGGGTCTTCTGACATTCTCATGAGCTGCAATGGAAAGAAAAACTGTGACATTATCTGTCTTCTCATACGAATGTGGTAACAGCTTAAAAAAGACACAAGGAAAACAATCTGTAATGATGTTCCATGACGTAAAAAAGTTTGATGAGAGGCCAGTGGACATCGCTAATAATCGTACAGCATGATCCCACAGCGCCTGAGAGATGATTCTATCTCTGTCCTGATGTAATGGATGGTGTGGGTGATAGCGCTTGGAGTTTCCTTTCTGTCTAATGTTGTATTCCGTGGCATATGTCAACCAGCCCAAAGCACTTTCACTAGAGAAAGTGAACCCATGTTCATCACCACCAACATTTCTGTAAAGATGGCTACAGGACTGAGAGGAACATTGTGAAGTACACTGTAGTGGAAAGTATAACAGTTAAAGGGGCATGCATAGGGCCTTGACTGTGGCGTGAGGGTTGCATATGCATAGGAAATGCATTTTGCTATGTCAGTGAGAGACGTAGTTAAAATGTCCACAAAGTGCAATGAACATAACTGCAATATCTTTTTCCATTCATGCGTACAAGGCAACAACAGAAAACCAAGTATTACGGCAGTTACAGTGGAGTACAAACTAAAGAGTGAAAGATTATAACCAGTGAAGGTTTCACTACAAATGCAGACACTCAACATGGTTCTTCTGGCACTAATGCTATAGACTTCCATTCTTTTGTATTCTTGTCAGAACACTAGCTATGCAGACCGAGGTTTTTGTGGTTTTCTTCAGTACCTCCACGAAATACCAGGAAAGTTTCTCAATTAAACTATGACTGATTTCTTACAAATCTTTTCCAATTCATTACTCATGTATCAACCTGCCATACAACTCTGCCTAGCCCAGCTAACCACACTGTAAAAGAACTTACATGGAAAAATATACCGACAAAAAAGGATCTGACATAGTGACAATATATTTACATAGTAGGCAGGCCATTTTGCAGAAAAACAGAGTGGAAAGGGAATGGTGTGCAAAAGTGTCTATGTAGCATGTCTATAGAAATAACATAAACATTCTTCTGGACAAAATTAAATAATTCTGTCATGCTAGATATGTTTATCTCAGAAGACAATGGCTTGAACAAGACAGTGCTATGGTCCACAGTGAAGGTCATCTTGGGCATACTTTCCTGAGCTTTCACATATGGTACTTAATTAAGTACAGGGACAACTCTTCTATATGTTTACCACTGTGGGACACAAACATGTTCTTGAACAACACCAGACATTTATAGAGGTGAATGGTAGAGTTCTTATAAGAATCAGGGTGCTAACAGAGTTACACCGTTTGTAATATAATCTTTTTTTTCCTTGGCACTACAGCCCCAGTGGGCCTAGGCCTACCTCCATGAACTTCTCCGTTCACGTTTGTAAACAAATATTTCTAAAGGACATGGATGAAACTTGACAACATAAAAAATTGTTCAACAATTGACTCAGAAAAAATACAAATAATAGAATGACCACGACAGTGAAACTGTGTAACTTGTGCTTCTTGTTTTAAATAATGTATAAAATGGAGTTGAGAGTTTGAACTCACCAGATGAATATCATCTCACTACAAAGCTCTACCACTTCCAGCCAGACTCAACGGCATTTCAGGCCTGCAACAATAAATGGGCAAACATTGGTAACTGAAAATTTTAACGAGCACAATTTACAAGGTAATCGTAGTGGCACCATGAGCTTTCTTTCAATTTGTCTTTAAAGACGCTGCCAGTCTCGAGAGTATACGGCGCTCGGTTATCTCGGCTGCTTCATTTCCACATTATTTCAAGCACTGGCACACCATTCTGCCAGAATCGTTTTATTAATATTTCACGTATTATTAGCTCAGTTCTCAAATGGTCACGAATTACAATTCGGTGTGATTTTATGTTTCCATCACTGGCACAAATATTACATATCACATATCATGAAATTCATGCAGACAGATTAGATATGAACGCGAGTATAAACCAAACGATATTATTCAGATGTTAAACAACTGAACAAAGTAATGGTATTAGCGCCAAAACCTCAAATGGTTGTACACAGAACGGAAAATTAATATTACCATTAGAAAACACGGCACACAAGGTGTTTATTCAGATCACGCTTCGCGGATCTTCGAGATTACCATCTTCAGGGATTTGACGATATGCAGAAGATGGCAGAAGATTGAGGCACCGGGTTCCTTGGTATTATTACTATTATTATTATTATTGGAGGGGTGGGTTTCCCCATGCACCGCGACCAGTGGTCTATTGTACGTCCCTTCTGTGATATTCTACCAGTCTCTATACCCTACCGATACTGGTGCGTGCCATCAGTCCCGACTCAGCCAGCGAGTTCGGCCTCTACTGGCTCAGCGGTATCTCTCGATGCTTCCCCCATCTATCAGAGGCGTTAGAGACTACTGTTGGGCGGGAAATGTCCGATCAATCTGGCTCAGTGGTTCCCTTGGGACATGAGGTTCTTTTACGTGCCGTAAAGCTACGACACGGGACCCAGGGCTTAAAGTCCCTCCCTGAATTTTTCCCCCCTTAAAAATTCCACGACCTCCGCCGGGTTTGAACCCGCGTACCTTGAGTCATGAGGTGGGAACGTTACCCCTAGACTACGGAGACCGCTGGGTTCCTTGGTAACGTTCATGTCTATTTCTAAACTACATGGCCTCACATCTAAGAAGACCATAATCTTTACATTCGGCGCCACGGGAACCCCAAATCTCATGTTATATAACCTCTTGTAAGTGTGAGCCTTACATGTAAGGTAGTGAGGGCTTCCACGGATCCACGGTTACAGTTCCAAGTGCCATGCGGTTCGACATCTTGTGTTCCCCTGTAGATTCCGCTTCCATCTGAAACAATTCAGAACGAACTTCTGAGAATGTCGCTATATTTATTTCTCATCAGAAATTATACGGAAACAACGACCCATATACCTCATTATCAAACTGAAGAAGTTTAGTCCAGGCTGCCCAGGCCTATAGTAATCCGGAAGAGATACACACAGAGTGACTGAATTAGTTAACGTGTACTGAACACCTCTGTATGAATTTAAGACAGGTTACCAACCCTGCAGTAACTCAATGAAGGATGAGAATGGTGATCTGCTTGCAGATTCCCCCAGTATTTTGAATAGCTGGAGGAATTATTTGTCTCAACATACGGTCAGTGACGTTAGGCAGATACACACAGCTTTGCCGTTAGTACCGCACGCTAGTCCTTTTATGTTGAAATTACTAATGCAAAGTTGAAGAAATGTAAACCGCCAGACAGCGGCCGAATTCCAGCAGAAGATGAAGCATTACGATCTGAAATCCGTAACTAATTAAACCAACTTCATGCAGCTGAGCTCTTCTTGAGAAGCCGCCTGTTGTGCAGATTTTGAAGAAGTGACCAGCATTTTATGGATCCCGAAGGTTGATTACCGCGTCGACGTAACAACTACTGACCCTTCCTTCTTTTTTTGCATTCGTCAGATACTGAAGAAAAGACAGGAATAAATGAGGCAGTACATCATCTATTCCTAGAGTTCAAGAAAGCTTATCATTCAGTTATGAGAGAAGTATTGTACAATATTCCCAGAGTTTGGGGAACGCATGAAACTACTTAGGCTTATTGTAATTTGCTCAAATAGAACCGCCAGCAAGCCCGTATAAGTATATATTTGTATGATACGTTTAATATCCGAAATGGTCTAAAACAAGGAGATGGTTTTATCACCATTCATTTTCAACTTTGCTTCAGAATATGCCATTAGGAAGGTCCAGGAAATCCAGGTGGGACTGACACATCAGTTGCTGGGCTATGCCACTAGAAACCATTAGGAACACCTAGACGTAGATGGGAGAATAATATTAAAATGCATTTTACAGACATAGAATGGGATGACATGGACTGAACTGATCTGGCTGAGGATAGTGACCAGTAAAGCGCTCTTGTGAACACGGTAACGAACCTTCGGATTCCATAAAATATTAGGAAATTCTTGAGTAGCTGAGCAAATGGCGGCTTTCCAAGAAGGGCTCAGCTCTTTGGACTTAGTCTTGTCTCCACAACTTCTGTCCTACGACATTTTCACGTCCAATAAAATTCAGCGAGCTGTTTTGGAGTTGCGAGCAAACAAACACGTTGCTCTTCTTGCGAAGTGTCCTTTACTGTTATCCGATGTTGATGAAACCTGGAATGTGTCTATGCATTTTAGCAGAGCCCTTAAATACCAAATTTCACGGAAATTCGTTTCGCTGTTCTCGAGTAGTCACCCGCGAACAGATGGACAGACAACGTGGCGCAAGCGACGAGCACACTTTTGCAAGCCTCGGTGCCCGTGAGACGCAATGAAGACAGAGGTCTGTCAGACACGCAGACCAACACGCGTATTCCCATCTTACGGACTGAAGTGAAGGGATTTTATTCATTCAAATCTGACGTCCAGTTTCTCCAAGGCGACGGAGAAACGAGTGAAAACAGGGTTCCATGTACCGCCACACTCCTGACCTCAGCAGTAACGGAGCTGAGTGCTCATTTCGATGTCCCCTTGTGTCCATCCGAAAGAAGTTCTAGAACTTGTTGCTTGTTAATTCGTTATTCTCACGCTGCCGCGGAACAGCATTATTTGTTTTTTATTATTGCTAGTGGGGTGGGACTAAGTCCCTTGTACTGCGGCCACTTCTGACCTATTGTACCAGCCCCAGATGATAGGTGAGGGTGATTGTGGAGCAATTGGTGGAATGAAGATTGGCAGGGGAAACCGAAGTACTTGGAGAAAACCTGCCCTAGCGCCACTTTGTCCACCACAAATTGTCAGATGTTGAGACTCCCACATTCTAGACAATCGGCTCATAGATGGCGGTAAAGATGTCAGCCTTAAGCGCCGGCCGCCCTTTAACCCCAAGAATATTCCTGGTGCTCATATCTGTTAGAGGCTGAGTCGAGCCCAGGGCCACAGTGCGGCTGGAAGGATTAGGTAAATTGAAAAAAAAATCCAATGACCTCGTCGGGATTCGATCCTGTGACCTTCCGGCTTGTAGCATAGTGCCTCAACCAACTACGCTACCGCGTGCCCACGATATTCTTCTACAAATATTATGTTTCTAGACACTACCCATCGTCCCATTTTCATCTAAAACACCGCCCTGTTTTTTTTTTTTTCCAAAACACGACTTCCGGAGATATGGATTAGCTCTATCGATTGGGCCCAACGGAGGTTTTACCTGAAGGCGGAGACAGACTCCAGTCTCCGAAATTTTGTGTTTTGAAAAATAAACAGGGCGGTGCTTTTAGATAAAGACAGGACGACGGATAATGTTCAGAAACATTATATTTGTACTATGTACCATCGTCACAGACTTTTAGGTCATGATATTTTTGTCTTCATGACTGACTCACTGCAGAATGTAATAATGCGCAGTGATACATTTGTGTTGTACCCGCATAAAGAACAGAGCAAATACATTGTATAGGTCGCTTCTACGAAATAAATTCTACGGAATACTGAAACAAGTCTGTAAACATACTGCTCAAATGGATTTATCGCGTTCAGAAGTGTCCAGTGGTGGATACAGTTGTTTGCAAAGAGTTCATGAATTGATTAGGCAAGTCACTTTGCAGACGTAACAAAGGTCGTCGCGTCTTGGTTGTTAAGCCTCCCAGCCAAAATCGATCCGGAGCGCCACGACGTCTGCTCCAGATCTGCCCCGCAGAGCAGGCTTCGACACGTGCGGAAGATCTCCGCCGTCCCGCACAGCGTCTGCGTCTCCTCGCGCCTGTCTGTGCGGCTTCCTTATCCGCAAGGGTCAACGGTTCAGTCAACCAAGAAATTACTCGCATATTAAGGAAACCGAAAGTGCAGTACGCCCCCCCCCCATTAAATCATATCACAAGTCAGTTCAATCAAGTCCAAATATTCACGAACCCATTTCGCTGATATTCTTTTCAATATTATCCTCCCACCTAAGTAGGATTTGAGGTTCTCACAGCGGTGGTTATGATGAGTACTACCTTCTTGGATATAATGCCATGTAGTCTGTTGAAAGTCAACCGACGTTTCGGAAGAACATGTCGCCTCCGTCTTCAGGGTCGAGGAATAAGCTTAGCAAGACACCAGAGTGAAAGCAGGTGCAAAGCAGAGCTCTTCGACCCTGAAGATGGAAGCGATGTTCTTTCAAAACGTCTGCTGACTTTCATTATATCCCAGAAGACACCACTTTTCCTCCAGCCTAAGCTTTCGTCATATTATCTGTAATTTTATCTCATTGAACCAAAATAAAGCATTACAGTATCGACTTTTCGGACGTGATCGATCGCCTTGCCTTTTATTTAAAACAACGTTTCGGAGACTGAACTTCGTCCTCAGGTAAGAAGTCTATTCAGTTGGTCCCTGTGTCCGGACATCAGAACACGCGCAAGGCAAGATACATAAACCCGACGCGACGAAATATCTGTGGGGGTTAAGACAAACACTTCAAAGCTCCACATACACCAGGCTTCGGAACGCTGTTAAAAAAACATTACGATGGAAAATGTCCAACAAGTAAAAGATTGTACTGATATACAACGGTCACGAACTTTAAATTACAGAATATTTCACAGACGATAACAACTTAAAAATACTCACTCCGTGTAAACGTACATGGCGGATCACAGTGGCCGTGCTTTCTAAGGCATGAAATTTTCGCTCGCTCAAACCCTGAGATCGTGGGTTATAATCCCACTCGAGGCATGGATGTCTGTGCGCGTTTATGCTGTGTGTTGTCCTGTGTAGGTAGCGGCCTTGCGACGGACTGATTCCAGTCCTACCGACTGTGTATAGGATTAAGAAACTGAAAAGGGGGCCCAGCTCCAGCATAGAACTGTACAGCCATAGAGAGAGACAGTAAGCGTATATGACCGCGTGTTCGTTATCTGAACTGCGTAAACTGAAAGCATAATGGGGAAAGCACGTCTGTCCGTAAGTTCGCACATTTAATCTCAGAAACTTGTTATTGGATGATTTACACTAAACGTTGCTGGGCAGTTTCAATTTGGTTGGTATTAATCCAGCGACCCAACGCAAGACTCAAGCCCACATCATGTGCAAATGGAACAGAACATCTGCAATTCTCTGAACAGAGAACGTAACATACAGATCTCATCACGATCTGCAAGTTTTATCTGCAGAGTTCTTCAATAGGCCTTACACTCAATACTGTATTTATTGTAGCATGGAGCTCAAGTCCTTTTCGAGAAGCCGCCAGTCGCTCAGCTTCTCAAGCATTTCCCCAAGGTTTACTGCCGTGGTCTCTACACTGACCCAGCTCATTCCAGTCTATACCATCCTATTTATCTAAGAACCGTTTTAATATTATCTTCCACAAGTTATGAAGACCCTCATTAAATAGTTTTCTCCAGCGTTTCTTTACTCATTATAAGCTTCGTTAAGAACGTATTTCCGCATGGTTCGATACTTGGGGGCCGCAGAGGAGGGAGGAGGCCAGGCATGTCCCCCCCCACAATTTTTCCCCCCTTGGCACTACAGCCCCAGTGGGCCTAGACCTACCTCCATGAACTTCTCCGTTCACTTCGGTTTTTCTAGATCTTACACATTCGGTAGGACTCATTGGGCGGGTGATCAGCTCGTCGCGAGGCCTCTACCTGTACACAAACACAGAAAAACGCACACACACACAAACTAAACATCCATGCCCTGAGTGGGATTCGAACCCACGATCCCGGTTTCCAAGAGAGCGAAGACAGTACATGCCTTAGACCGCTCGGCTACCATGACCGGGCCATGCCCCCCTTACTGAATCTTTTAAAAAATCAAAATCGAGTATAGGGGGAAATGTACCCCAAATAGTGTATATTCTGGGGCTATCAGTAAAAATAATCTTAAGCTTCTTAAACGTAAGTACGTAAGCATATTATCTGCCTGCTCCGCACACCCACACTTGAACAGCTCCTGGTGGTGCACTGCTCGAGACACATGGCCGCAGAAGCGCATCGGCCTCGACGAAAGAACATGTCTTTAGACGGGAAACTCTGAGGTTGAGTTCGCGCAGCGTGTGACGACAGCTTCGTGAATTCGTACGTCGCCAAGCAACTTGGATGAATGAGGTCTTCCGTGGTTCTCCTCGGTCCGTCCGGGCATATGGCACGATAGTACCTGCAAGTAGACCACGACCGTTTCCTTCCACATCTCTTCCATTTTGAGAGCCACAAACGCATCCTACAATTAGACGTTTCAGTCCGAGCTACTGACAGTGAGGTTAAAGATGAGGTCATGAATTTTTCAACTGACCTAATCCTTCCAGCCGCACTATGGCCCTGGGATCGACTTAGCCTCTAACAGAAATGAGTACCAGGAATGTTCCTGGAAGGTAAAGGGTGGCCGCGCGCGTAAGGCCATATGTGAGCCGACTGACTACAAAATGTGGGAACCTCGATGTCTCACAACCCTATGGGACACCACGGCTTGTTACAGGGATAACTTCACATTTTTACACAAAATAAATACATTCACAAAGTCCAATTCGTAAAAAAAATTAACAGTTCGTTCACTTCTGGCCTGCAGAACCCAGACATACGTAAACTGCATTGAGACATTTAGTCTGCCGTGATGGACTAAAGTAATATGTTGGGTACATTCTTTAGCAGCGAAATTTTCGTCCAAATCCGATCATTAGTTACGTAGGAGGCAATGAGGCCCCCAGGCAATATTACAAAACAAGTTAAAACAACCTCGTGTTTCAGCTGTTGCCTACTTACTCGTACTGATGGGGTAGCCATACACTCCCGTAAACATCTTCCTAGATGAACACCACATAAAGCTACTTCTAGTTTCACTTAACTCGGATACATTTAACACACAACACATACAAAAGTTAGGAAAAGCAGCCCCAGCCTGCGGGCCGTAGTTTGAACACCTCTGTGCTCATTACGACCCACTGTTGCGCGTAGATGTGGAGTCCCGCCCATACCTGAGAGTCTAGCCTGTGAGATTTCCGAACAATTCGTCACAAGTTAGGGTCTCAGGGAACGGGCAAGACTTGTCTTCTGCAGTCACTGCTTCCAGTCCCAGTGACACCTACACATGATTACAGCCTGAGAAAAACAAACTTAACGGTAATGAAAATGTAGTTAAAAACATGACAATGTTGGTCACCTGGTGGATCTTGTCTCGAAGTTACTTCTTTCTCCTTGGTCCCTTAGCGCTGAACAAGCATCAGTTATTTTTTTTCCGACTCAACCTGCCAAGTCTTGTCGTCCGACCTTCGTTACGTAACCATCTTGCACAAATGTAGCAGCCATACGGTATCTTATCCCTTAGTTCTGAGAGTCTGGTTGCTATTCTTCTTCTTGAGCCGTCGCAAGAATGGGGCCTCAAGTCCCGTTTCGAGGCTAACTCGTCTGTTCTTCCACATATTCCTACGTCGTACCAGGTCTCGTCTTCCCTCAGGACTGCCTCAAAAGCTTGCCGAGAAAAACGTTTGGAGGTTACTCTTCCTATACTTTACATAATCCTGGACATATACCGTGGCGTGTAGATCCGTTACTAGGTAACGACCGAGAAACAAATGTTTCCACGGCAATGAACTGTTGGAAATAGTGTTCTCTATGCGGTCCGTGCCGAGATGTTATAAACGGGAGTTTGGAGCAATAAGTCAATCTGTGAAGCGAAGACTAGGAGGTTGGTGTAAGAAGGGCTGTCGGCCTGGGAGTGTAGTTGCGAGACGGTAGCCAGTTAGCAGCCGTTACCAGGATACGACTAGTGAAGACATAGAAGGCTATGTGTGCTACAGTTACAGTAATCTGTGAGTGTGTGAACAAGTGAGGCTGTTAGAGTTGCTTGTAGTAACGAGTTGTGTGTATAGGTGTTCAATAAATACAATCACCAATTAAAACCCCGTCTGTAGTCACACGCACACATGTAACAATACCAGACTAGTGCCTCCCAACGGGCCCAACTGAATAGAATCGCTTACGCCTGGTGTCGGCAGCAAAGCCAGCTTCTGAACACTGCGCGCACTGCATTCACCTGTGCGATGCACAGATTGCTGTAACAGGCCGTGGAGGCCTACGGGGCTGTGAGACGTCGAGGCTCCCACATTTTCTAAACACTCGGCTCACAAATGAAGGCGAGGTCGTAAGCCCACACACCGGCCGTCTTTTACCCACAGAAACATTCCTGGTACTCATTTCTGTTAGAGACTGACTCGACCCCAGGAACATAGTGCGGCTGGAAGGGTTAAGTAAACTGAAAAATAATCCACCTTATCGGGACTCGAACCCGCGAACTTCCGGCTTGTAGCATAGCGCTTCAACCAACTACGCTCACTCTACAACATAATAATCTCGCATGGAATGCTGGGATTGTAGGCCCCATTATCATGAGAACTCCCCATCTCGGCATTCACACGAAGTTTAATGAAAGTCCATTTGGAACTGCACGTCAATCCGAAATATTGCAACACACGCTCTTCCTTAGAACAAAAACAAACTACGAGCCAACGTTGCGGCGGAGTGAGCAGGTGCCGGTTCGCAGACGGGCCATTTCATCCGAGGTGCGTCATGGCTCTCCTGAGCCTATCCACCTAAATCCCTGGACAGTGCCACCAGTGCTTCCGGTCACGCCCGTCTCAATTTTGTATTCACCAACCGACACGACATTCTGCGCCACTGATGGCATCGTTAAATAAGCCACCAACTACGTACATGGCTCAAATCCCTTCCTTAGAAGCCAACAACGAAACACGCCGGACTAGACGTGACGCAGGTACTCTATTCGAATCTCGAACAGGACACCGAACATCCTGACTGCGGATCGTCTCTATTTTACTCAGCCTCTTCGGGCAAATTTTAGGATAGCTTCCTGTCTTTCATAATTTTTTTTATTGCTAGTGGGGTGAGACTAAGTACCTTGTACTGCGGCCACTTCTGGCCTATTGTACCAGCCTCAGATGATAGGTGAAGGTGATTGTGGAGCAATTGGTGGAATGAAGATTGACAGGGGAAACCGAAGTACTCGGAGAAAACCTGCCCCAGCGCCACTTTGTCCACCACAAATCCCACCTGACCAGACCCGGGATCGAACCCGGGCCGCCGCAGTGGGAAGCCAGCGACTAACCGCTTGAACTATGGCGCGGCCATTTCTTTCATTACTCTCCTTGCAGTCCGACACCGTGAGGTCTCGATCCTGAAAGCATCGCTTAATAACATAAGAAACCGACAGCTGCTTCGACAACTCTTCCTGTAAAATCGTCGTTAAACACGTCCTATACAAGTGAAGACTTGTCAAACATCATGAACTCCAAGCAGCTGAGTTAGTCTTAAAGGTAACAGCCGCTCAACCCAACATTCTATAGAACCATAAGGTTCACTGCCGTATTCACAAAAGCCCGCCAGTGGTGCTTGTCCTGAACCAGCTGGGTCCAGCTCCGCCCTCCAATCCTATTTATTTAGTATCCCCCAAACTACGTGTTGGTCTTCCAAGTGGTGTCGTTACACAAACACATGCTGAGGTACCTACTCAGCTTGAGAAACATCACTGTGATAATCTGGCCGCAGCAAACAGTTTCCAGACGGACACACACATATGCAAGCAACTAAAATGTCTGAATCATCATCACTGAACTGATGTCGAACATGACAACATGACCTTCTGGCTACACACCTGGGATCTAAGCCGGTACCGTTATGAAACCAAGGGACCAATGAGTGCGGGTCTCTCTTGAGAAGCGTCCTACCCCTACCACTGGGGCGACATGCAACGGAGGAGTGGGGCCGGGCTTCGAACAGTAGTCACCGAGGAAAGGAGCTTCAACCGCACGTTTATTCAGTTGTACTTTCAAAAATTACAAACGCTTGACAATGTGACCCCCTTCTTCCCGTGCCTGCAGGTCATTCAGCAACACACCCTTCCCTGCTGACCTGTGTAATCCTTTCGCAAATCCCCTTTGCTGTTCACTTCAAAAAACTACAAATTATATAAAATGTGTCATCACAAAGGAAACTACTGCAGTGTTTATTTCAATGTAACCACGGCTGAACCAAAGCTGTCTTGGGAACGGGTCCACGGCAGACAGCTAACGGAAATGCATTATGGTCGCCTAAAAATTGAAATAACTTGTGCTTGCAGGCCTTGGGGGAGGGAGAGAGTGCTGTATGTTAAAATATTATATTTTTTAATTTATAGTAATTGTAAAACTTGGCACTAACTTCGCCGACAAGCGGCGGTCGCTCGGTAGGTATAGTTCGCTTGCGGACTAAAACCACGGAGTTCTGTTTTGTTTTTGTATTCACTACAGTTATAATACGGTTCGCATGAAGCAGTTTTTATGCAAGGAATCGAACATTCACGGTTTCTTTGAATTCTCTATGTTTCCAACAAAACAGAAAGAAATTCTCTGTAATTGTTACTCCGGGGTGATAGCAGCCAAAATGTACCTCTTATGCCATCTACAATCAAAGGCAATTACTAACATCTCAAACTGACATGCGAGCTTCTTCCACAGAGCATGTAGCGTTGGAACGGCTGAATGTGTTCCTTTGCCAGAAGCAAGCGACTTCAACGCACCTTTTATAGGGTGGCCTGCCAAATTGACTGGACCTGAGTGTGACACAGTCCACATTGTAGAGCCTGAAGAAACCTTCATGCTGCTTGTGCTCTACGTGAAACTGAAGGGTGCAAGCATGTACCAGGACACGGGCAGTCTTCAGTTTACAATACAGTTTTATGTTTCAACCTTACAAACGTCAGCTTTACAAAACCTCGGGATGAGGCAGTAGTTTCCAAACTTCACACAATGGCGGCCCCTTGGCTTAGCAAAGATTTACTCGCGTCCACTTTCTCAAATTCGTGTCTGTATAAAGAATTACTTTTGCAAATTTTTTAATACTTTTAAAACCAACTATTTTAAACGCTTACCAATTAACATCGATCACGAGTTTACAAATATTATGACATTTTGAGAATTATAAGCAGTCTAGTCTTAGTATATAAGTTTCCCACAATATTCTCCCCCGGGTGGTGCGCCCAATATTTTTGAAACTACTGAGGTAATGGAACACGTCCTAGCGCGTGTGTAACGGTGGACTGCAAAGTGTGTGGAAACAGAGGAAGCGCTGTAATTGCCTGTAGTTCAACGTGTCGATAAATCCAATCGA